TACATACATGCACATATATACACATTTATATACATGTTCTCTCACCATATGCACATGATGTATTCCCTCCACCATGAAGGCTGCGTTTTATTTTTATTTATTTTTGTGATAACATTTAACATAAGATCTACCCTCTTAGCAGAATTTTAAGTATACAGTACTGTATTGTTCACTGTAGGCACCACGCTGCACCATAGATCTCTAGGATTTACTCATCTTGCTTCACTGAAACTCAGTACCCTTTGACTCACCACCTCCCTGAGTCCCCCGCTAACTAACCCCCAGCAACCGCCATTCTACACTCTGCTTCTATGAGTTCAACGATTTTAGCTGCTGCTTCTAAATGATATCATGTAGTCTTTGTCCTCTGACTGGCTGATTGTACTTAGCATAATATCCTCCAAGTTCATGCATCTTATCCCAAATGGCAGGATTTCCTTTTTTATGGCTGAATAATATTCCATTATTTACATATACCACATTTTCCTTATCCATTCATCTGTAAGTGTACCGGTATTTAGGTTGCTTCATGTCTTAGCTTTTGTGAATAATGCTGCAGTGAACATGGGAGTATAGATATCTCTTTGAGGACCTGATTTTAATTCCTTTGGATGTACATCCATCCAAAGGATTGCTGGATGATAGGGTAGTTCTTGAGCCTCCATAGTGTTTTCCATGGTGGCTATAGAAGTTCACGTTCCCACCAACAGTGAACAAGGGTTCTCTTTTCTCCACCTCCTTGCCAACACTTGTTGTCTTTTGGGTATTTTTTTTTTTTTTGGTTTTTTTGGATAATAGCCATCCTGACAGGTGTGAAGTGATATCTCATTGTAGTTTTGACTTGCATTTCTCTGATAATTAGTGATGTCGAATATCTTTTCATATACCTGTTGGCCATTTGTATGTTGTCTTTAGAGAAATGTCTATTCAGTTCCTTTGCCTGTTTTTAAATTGGATTATTTGTCTTTTGCTGTTGAATTGTGTAAGTTTCTTATGTATTTCGGATATTAACCCTTAACAGGTATATGATTTCTTCCATTATTTTATTAATAAGATATTTCCAATATTTCCTTCCATTCTGTAGGTTGCCTTTTCATTCTTCTCATTGTTTCCTTTGTTGTGCAGAAATTTTTTAGTTTGTAGTCCAACTTGTTTATTTTTGCTTTTGTTGCCTGTCTTTTTGGTGTCATGTCCAAGAAGTCATTGCCAAGATCAACGTCAAGAAGCTTTTCCCCTATGTTTTCCTCTAGGAGCTTTATGGTTCCAGGTCTTTATTTAATTCTTTAATCCATTCTGAGTTGATTTTTGTGTATGGTATAAGGGTCCAATTTCATTCTTTTGCACACGAATATCCCGTTTTCCCAGCACCATTTATTGGAGAGAGGCTGTCCTTTCTCCATTGTGTCTTCCTGGCACCCTTATTGAAGATCCATTGACTCTTTATGATTTGGAAGAATTAATGTTGTTAAAATGTCCATAGTTCCCAAAGAGCTCTACAAATTTAATGTAATTCCTATCAAAATCCCAAAGGCAAGTTTTTTTTTTTTATAGAAACAGAAAAAATCATTCTAAAAGTCTTATGGAACCACAAAAGACAGAATAGCCAAAGCAATTTTGAGCAAGAAGAACAAAGCTGGAAGCATCACACTTCTGGATTTCAAAATATGTTACAAAGCTCCAGTAATCAAAATAGTGTGATACTGGCATAAAAACAGACATGTAGACCAATGGAATGCAATAGCCCAGAAGTAAATCTATGCATGTATGGGAGCTGCATTTTGGAAGAGCCACTCCACAGCAGTGGGAGATGCTGAAGGGCTCCATTCCTAGCGGTGGACTCGAGGCCCGGGCAGGGAGGTTCCTGGGGGCTGAGGAACCCTGTGGACGGCTTCCTTCTCTGCTTGGGGGCCGCAGAGCTAAGGACACTGTAGGCTGACCTTTGGCTTCCCTATACAGAAGAATGTGGAATTGGGGGTGTTCACACCAGCCACCGACTCCAACCCCCTTCTCCTGGTTGCCTGCTGTGTGGTTTCACACAAGGCGGTCACTTGGAGCTTGAAGTTTACCTGTGTTCCTCCCCTCCCATAGCCTCTCTTCCACCAGATCTTTGACATAAAATCTGACTTCAAAGGTAGTGCAGCCACGCTCTTGGAGAGGAGTAACAGAAACCTCTGGGAAGTTGAGCTCAGACCCTGACATATGACATACGTAACAGGAGTTGTCCTTGGCTGCCTGCCTCCCACGCTGCACCTGAGGCCCTCCCCTCCCCCACCCCTCAACCTTCAACAGCTTCCCTCCAGGTATCTGTGCACCCATCGAGAGGGCTTTAAAAATAAATGCAGTTGAATTGCTTGCCACAGCGCTCCATTAAATCAATGTAAACACAGTTTAGAACATTTTTCATTGTTCATTTTTGTAAAAAGTTGAAAAACCAGGTTCGAAGGGAGAACTTTAACCACCATCACGGCAGTGTGCCTCTGAGAGAATTACATTGGACTCATCGCCCTTTTAAGTGAAAATAGAGTTTTCCAGGATGAAAACGACTAGTACATTTGAGAGATTTGTGAATCAAATCGCATCTTAAATGCATTAGGCGACTGGCTTACTGCTTAAATGTATTCCATGGTGAATCCTTCTGTGAAAGGCGCAAGAGAATTTGCATCCCCTGCCTGCAGTGTCCCAGGACTGACGTTTTTGAATTAGATTTTTGTAGATAGGTTTGTAGCAAGTAAGGGCTACTGAATAGATTTGGGGTTTTAGTTATTGCATTTTTTTCTGCTTATAAAAATAGTAGAATATTCTATATGGAATGAAAGTACAAAGTGGAAATAAAAATCACCTGTAATTGGAGAACCGAATGATAACCGCCATGTTCCTGCAGGGGGTGGTTTATGTGTGTGTGCATAGATATCTCTATATTAAACTGAGGTCCCTGTGAGAATTGGGTCAGCAGCTCAAGGCCCCCAGGTTGTGGCAGGGTAGAAGTAGGAGGTGGTGGGATTTCCATGCCCAGAAGGTAGTCAGAATCAGACACTTTTTGAAGGAATAAGCACCAGTTAAAAAGGAAACCCAGGCAGGCTGGGGGCCAGGAAGCAGACCCCGACCTGGGCCAGCTGAGTCTGCTGGGGATGCAGCTGGGGCGCTGAGGGCACACACCCAGTAGACAGCTCCCTGTTTGCTTGGAGCCTGCTTCTCCTAAATGCACATGCTCGGCATTTGATCCCCTTCTTGCCCTTTTCCTCCTCCAGTCTCACTGTCCTCTGCCCTACTCTTTCTAGATGACAAGGTGCCCTTGGATTAGTCAGCTATTTGGGTCACACTCGATATCCCCCCTGCGGGGAACCTTACATTCAGTGAGGCCCGGGAGGGAGCAGAGCTGCTTGCCCTGAAGAGGTCAGGCCCTGGCTGGTGCAGGAGGTATTTGGGGACATGGAGCCATCCAGTGCATGTGAAGCTGCGCCGTGGAGGAGGACTTTCTGTGGCCTGCGTGAAGGTGCTAGGAGCCTGGTAGGGGACCCAGAGCCTGCCCACTCTGCCCTCGGAAGCCACGAGGAGCTCGACTCTTTCGTGATGCAAGCTTCGGGGACTTGCTGAAGGGAGCGTGGGCAGAGCAGTGTGTGCACAGTGGAACACTGGCCTCTCCCCCACTCTCTGGGCTAAAATCTAGTCTCCATCACTTAATAGCCGAGTTAACAGGAGTAGGTTACCTAACCTCTCTATTCCTCACTTTGCACACCTGTAAAATGGGGATAAAAGCAGTACCCTTCAAGTACGGTTGTTGTGAGGATTCAGTGAGTTACTCATAACACACTTAGCATGGCACCCGCCACGGTGTAAGCCCACGATAAAACATTAGCCATTATCATAATCTCAGCTCCAGCTGCCATAGCAAATTTCTCAGGACTGGGTGGCTTAAACCATAGACATTTATTTCTTGTGGTTGTGGAGGCTAGAAGTCCAAGATCAGGGTGCCGGCATGGTTGGGTTCTGGCAAGGGCCCTCTTCCTGGCTTGTGAACCTTTTTGCTGTGTGTGGAGAGCTAGCTCAGTCAGGTTCTTTTCCCTCCTTATAAGGACACTAACCCCATCATGGGGGCCCCACCCTCATGGCCTCATCTAAACCGAATTACCTCCCAAAGGCCCCGCCTCCCGATACCATCATGTTGGGGGTTAGAGCTTCACACACACGAATTCAGAGGGGGCGGGGGAAACACAAACATTCGTAACGATCATTGATCATCGTTATTAGTCTTGCTATCATCTATTAGTCCCCTCGCAAGGTGTCCCGAGGTGGAGAGAAGGAAGAAATAAGGAAGGTCCTTTAGGTTCCACTGGCATCTTAAAGCCCACGGTGGTAGCTCTTGAGCCTTCAGGAAACTCTCTGCTTTCACAGTGTTACATTGCCCTCGCCTCTTCACCTCTGGAGAAAAGTTCTTGGTTGTCCTAGTCTGGGTAAGAGGGAGACGGTAGAAGTCAGTTTTATTAGGCAGCTGCGTCTCTGAGCCAGGGGGCTTGGAGTGTGGGGATTCGCTGCACCGGCTCCTCCCAGCCTCCCGTGTGGCTGGCCCTGCGACCCCCATCTACAGAGGAGGCTGCACTCAGATGCTCAGGGCGAGGAAATGCTGTCTGTCCAGGGTCATTCTGCTCAGAAATTGCACTAAGATTTAAACCTTGAGCCTTTTGACCCCAGGGCCCTCGAAACGTGTAGCAGGTGGGCAGGGGGTGGAATGGGGCAGCCGCCGTGGGAGCAGGATTCGGACTGGGATGGACTCCAAGGGGGCAGCTTGGATGTATCAGTGATGTGCGTGGTCTGGGTCTTCCCACCCTGTGTGTGCTCACGCACTGCAGCTGAGCAGTGAGACTCCTTGGACCCCCGAGTCCCTCCCCAAGGGAAGGCTGCCTACCACCCATGCGAGGCTAAAGTCACTCTCCAGCAGGAGGTCATCTTGAAGGTGTACTAACCTAGACTCTGTCGTCTTCTCTGCTCTTGTCCTTCCCCAGCCCCCAAAGACAATGAAGAGCGCGTGTTCCGGGAACGCATGCGGCCGAGGAAGCGGCAGGGGGCCGTCAGGCGCAGGGTCCACCAGGTCAATGGCCACAAGTTCATGGCCACCTATCTTCGGCAGCCCACCTACTGCTCCCACTGCAGAGATTTCATCTGGTAAGCCCCTCTCTCCTGGGAACCTCGAGTTATGGCTTCTCTTGGCAAGAAGCCAGGGATGGGGTGGGAGAGGTTATGAACTTCATGTAAAAAGCACTTAATGTGCTTTATTTCTTCTTTATCTGATTACAGAAGACTTTTCTCCGGGGCAGGCACTAAGCGTGTGTTTGGTGCATGGGGTGGGGGAATAAATGGAAAGAAGAAATGATGGTTCTTAGTGACTCTATACCTAGAGTTATATATCAAAGGAGTTAAGATTTTATAACCAATAATTATATTGTGATTTTGCTTTATAAAAAGAATCCTTATCTTTTAGACAAGCTGAATTATTTACAAATGAAATGGTACACTGAAATTTATTTAAAAACCAATTCTGGAAGGAGGGGAGAGGGGCTGGGGCCATGTATTGAAAATTGTTGGAGTTGGGTGATGGGTACATGAGGATCTATTATATTTGTCACTCTACTTTTATACATTTGAATTTTTAATAATGAAGTTAAAAATATTCAATTGCCAATATCTGTAGTACAAAGCAATTCTTAGTAGCTGTTCTAACAGTGCTTCTGCTAGGATGTTGAACTCTCACAGGAGTGAGAGAACAGTGTTGGCTGGAGTGGTCAGGGAAGGCTTCCTGGAGGAGGTGGCATTTCTCCTTTCATGATGACTAGGATTTTGCTAGGCAGAGAGAGTAGATAGTAGGCCTTTTGGGAGGTGGAGAAGGATATAGAGCACTAGTCTTGGGGTTGCAGGAGGACTTTTAATGAACATCTGCCATATGCCAGGTTCTATCTTAGGCACTGGAAGTATCTAATTAAATCTTCCTGCTATTCTACGAACTAGGAACCATTCCTCTAACAGCACCAAAGCTCAGAAATGAAAATGAGACTAGCCTGATGTCCTCTAGCTAGGAAGCGTCGGAGTGTCACGATTCCACCCCCAGTTAGCCTGACTCTAACTGTCACGCTTTCCCTGTGTCCCCCTAACCTGTCTGGCAAGCTCTCTGAGCTCCTTGGAGCTGACATAGAGGTTGCCCACACACACAGATCCAACAGCAGAGAATGAGTGAGGCCAGATTTTAGTGTGAACACAGCCAGGGGACATTTGAATTGGGCTCTGAGTGCCCCCTGGCCTCCTGAGGTATCTAAGAGTTTCTTGTCTCATCCTTATGGTGTTACAGAACAAGTCACCGAGGTTGGCATGGACATCTGAGACGGCACGGCTCAGAGCAAACTCAGCCCAACTGAAGCAGAAATAATGCCCTGTCCCAGCCACAGACAGTTTTAATTCCCAGGGAGGACTTAGCCTTCAGACCTCCACGTTCCATATTTTGGTCATGAATTGAGTGATTGGTCTTACGTAGATCCAGGCCTCCTCTAAGCCCATGGCAAGCACTGCTGAGCTCTAGGTTCCCTGGGGCGTAGCCTTAATGACTTCTGGTTCCTCCTGCTGGGCTGGGAACTGCAGGGAGCTTCCTAACAAGATGGTGTTGGTACACTGAGGACAGGGTGAGGCAAGGCTGGTTTGATCTGTGTCTATGCTGCCATTCAGCCTTGCTCTGGGGACCCTACTCTGGCCATGGAAGGAACTTCTAATGTTGGCCTCACCCAAGGGGTCGATTGGACCCTAAGTCCTGGCCAAAGACTGGCCCAGATCCCTTGGTGATCTCTAGAATGCCCAGGGAGCACACCTGCCAGACACAGCTCCCCTCCACAGCTGGAGAGCTAGAGAGCCCGCGGAGCATGTCCCAGTGCTGGGAGACAACGAATGCCCATTCTGTCCATGAGGAAGGGGAGTTTGATTGGTCAAGGCCTGCTGAGAGGAAGCAGGGTCGTGGCTTTCCAGAACACTGCTGACCCCGCCTGAGTGGTTATCTGTACAGGAAACCAAGCTCTGACACTGGCCAAACCTTCACCCTCTCCAAGTGTCAGGGCTGCCCTCTTGTGGCCTTCTAGAAGGAGGCATTTTAAGGCGCCCTGCAAGTAGAAATAAGATCACACTGCTCTGTGGACTCCATGCACTTGGTGTGATGTGGGTAGTGGCCAGAATTGCATGGCTTTGCGTGTTTGTTTTTTGACCTGGTAAAATTTTACTTTTTTAAAATATCGTATCTTCTTTTCAGGGGTGTCATAGGAAAGCAGGGATACCAATGTCAAGGTAAGAGGTATTTTATGAACTAAATCTTTGGAGGCCCATGGTTAGATCCAGCTCAGTAATGCTTGTAGGAAGCATGTGCTGGGTTTCATCACATTTAGAGGCTCTCTACAGTTTATGTGCGTATGCTTCATCTCGGAGTGGCAGGACCCTGCTTTCTTTGTCCCTGCTTGGCTGTTACTCCCACGTGCATAAATGGGTGTAGGTATATGGGAGGCACCTTGCAGGTGCTGCCTATCTCCGGGTGTCCCTGTGGTCTCAGCAAGCCGCCAGTTCACCCAGCCTTTGAGTACCAGGTGGAGAGAGAGCACTTTCATCTTTCCTGGTGAGACATCGTGCTTCAACTAGAGGCTGCCTGAAAGTCCTGTCGTGTCCTGAGCCAGGCTGTGTACCCTGGCTGGCAGCTCCCTCCCCTGCTTGTTTAATTCAGTACCACTGAATGCTCCTTGCTGATCACTTTTTTGTCTCTTCTGTAGAATCATTAGCTCTTAAAAACCTAAAGCTCCCTTGAAGGTGTTGAAGATTATTTTGTTTTCTGGTTAGTTGACTACAAATGCAAGGTTAAGCTGTACGGAATTGGAGGGTGGAAATATGACGTGGTCATGTTGAGGTTTCTCTGTGGTTGGAGCAAGAACATCAGTCTATCTCTTTGCCCAGTGCTGTTTAATTTGGGTCTTACCCTTGGGGGAACTTGGGCAGGTTCTGTTGGAGGTTGCTGTGTCTCTCAGACAATGTGTGTACAAACAGAGTTAGTTACCTCTTGGCCACCTATTGCCTGTACTGCCCCGTGTCACTAGAGACAGAGCTATAGGGTGCTCCTTGTAGACATTTTAAATGCAACAGGAACTTTGAAGTTTGGTGTGTCAGGGCTCAACCAGATAAAAAAGCCTGAGAACTTCTGTGCCACCTGCTGCAGTTCTCCCTATATCACATCAGCCACCCTGGCATGACCCAGAGTGGAGCACGGGGCAACTGTACCTTTAATAGACAGTGTTCCATGGAAAGGCTGGGAAGGAAGTTGTTCCCTGACCTTGGCATATGGGAGTGAGAAAATTGATCAGTACTCCTGAACTAGGGAAACCTGCCGATGCCTTTGACTATAAATGCGTCATTGCTCTCCACACCATTTAAGACATCCTCATGGCTCTGGTGGCAGAGTGTTTTGAAATAACTGCATAACAGGCTTTAGGGAGGGTATTAAGGCTCAGTGGCAGAAGAGGCATGGCTCCCCTTGTCCCTCCCCCGAGACCTGTTTGGACCCTGGGACAGATACTCCCTTCTCCCCTTGTCACTCAGCCATCCCGTCTTTGCTGTTTGCAGTCTGCACCTGCGTGGTCCACAAGCGGTGTCATGAGCTCATCATCACCAAGTGTGCTGGATTAAAGCGACAGGAGACTCCCGACCAGGTAAGTGTTTGTGACATGAGGGCACTGGGCTTCCGCACTGCCAACTCCTCCCTTCACTGCCTGCTCGTGGTCCCCGAGGACACCACCTCTCTCTGAGACCCTGCCACTTTCTTCATCGTGTTGATCGAAACCAAAGGGAGCTGTCCACGGTCTCCCTGCAGGAGGCGGAGTCTGTGGGATGAGCGCTGCTCCGCGTCAGTCTCGTCCCTGTGGACACGTGATCCCAGAGCTCACGCCCACAAGGAAAGTGTGAATTCTTTTATTTCGTTATCTCGTCCGAACACGGAAGTGGCTCACTGATGTGTCACTGGCTCCATGCAGGTGATAAACAGTGACAGAAATGACACACAAGCAGGAACCTTATCTCTAATGAGCTGTTGGGGAAATGGAGTGGAATGAGCAAGTCCAAGGAGTACTTAGGAGGCGGAAATAACCACAATAATAGTTTCGTGCCCTGATTTAAGCACTTTAACATATATTATTTAATCCCAAAACAACCTCAGTGTGGTAGATGTTACTCTCATTTTGAAGCCGAGAGAAGCACAGAGAGGTCAAATTAACTTGCCCCAAATCACATGCCTAAGAGCCACGTTCAAACCTGGGTGGTCTGTCCTGGGGTCTGAGCCCTTGACCGCGGCACTGTGTTGCCTCTTAATCTCAGGAACTATTGTCACATGGGCTACTAAGGATGTTGTTGGGATACGGAAGCAAGAAAATTCAGCAGCAAAGCTGGGTTTCTCCTAACTGGGTGGTCGGGAGGATGATGGGGTACCACTGGGAGACTGAAAACCTTTCGAGGAAGATGACAAGTGTGAACATGGGTATAGGTGTTCTGTGTTCAGAACAGTTGATTTCAAAGGCATGCTTCCGATTCTAGGTGAAATAATACTGTATCATCACAGGCTGTTAGAGTTGGGGATCAAAGAGAGAGGCCCTGGGTAGGTTTGTAATCAGCTTGGTTTATGATGAGGAACATCTACAATTTGGCTTCCAACAGGAGTGACTTAATAATTCAGCCAAATAGCATCTCAGTATCTGAGGCATTTCCCATCCTCTATCTCCTTTCACTTTCACACCATCTCTGGGAAGCAGCGAGGGACAGGCTTGGACGGAGCCTGGAGTGCCAAAGTCTTCACAGGGGTTCTCCTGTCATGCTGACCACTGCAAGTCAGCACCTGCGAGTTTCCTGACTCCTGGTCTGGGCTGCTGGCCCCAAGTACACTGTTACCCTCATTACTTTCCCAAGTAAGGGGAAGAAAGAGACGGCCTGCTTGCTGCCTGCCTTCCTGTGGCTGTTGCAATGAACATTTATTGGGCATGTCCTGTATGGCAGGCACTGTGCCGTGTCCCATGGGAGCGAAGGAGTACAGAAGTCCTACCCTCAAGGATCTCATAGGCCTCATCCCCGTGAGCCTCTGCAGGTTTCTAAAGCTCTTTCCACTTCCTTGGAGGGAAAAGTCCGTAAGAGTCCATGCCATTCAGGTTAGAGAGTTGAGATCGGAAATGCCAGACCCAGCTTCATCTGTGACCTAGTTCTTCTGACTCTCTATCCTGGCATATTGAGCAGTGAAAAGAAGTCTCCAGTGAGGTGTGTCCCCAGTTTGGCATGTATCCCAAGGGACAAATTGCCAGGGACTGAGGAAGAAGGCTTTAGGTTTCCTAGCTGGGCAGGGCTGATGACCTGTCCTGGTTCTCCCTGCCACCATCTCATGCCTCCCGAAGCCAGTCTCCATCAGCGGCAGCACATCTGGCCATCTGCTGGAGACCAAACTCGGAGTTCATGCTTTTGCATGACCACCTTTAGTGTGATACGTGTGCACACACGTCATACATACACACATACCACAAACACAGGTAGCCCTAAACGCCACGATTCTAATGCCTTCCTCCCTATCAAAGGTGCTCTGAGAACGGGCTCCTTAAATATTTTGCACCAGGAGCACGCAGCTGGTGAGCTCCCCTGTCTTGTCTGTGTTAGCCAAGGACTCGCACCCTCCCTGCACTTCCAGCTGTGGTAACCAAGGAATGCCCTGTCTCCCTTTGTCACCTTCCTCTTTTCTCTTTTTTTGTCTCACAGTTCTGTCTTTCTGATCTCTCTGTGTTCTGAGTCTTGCTCACCCCTTTTTTTTCCTGTCTCCCCCAGCAGGAGCACGTGTGTGCTTTCGACTGGCGCTCGTTCAGTCTTTGGATTTGCTTTTCCGTCTGTCTGACTCCGTGGTGTGCTCGTGTGTGTGTGTGTCCTTCATCTCCTCCCTCTGTTCTGATACCGTAGAGTTTTTAGTGGTCCCACCTGAGGGCCACACAGTGCTCTCCACCCCTACACTGAATCTCCCAGTCACCTGGGACAGCTTTCCTACCTTCCCACCTTAGTCTGTCATTCCTCTCTCTCTGGGGCTATTCCTGGGAGAACAGGAGTCTATTTTCAGAGATCTGCCATGTCTTTGGGATTAGCAGGGACCAAGTGGGCACAGTGATCTCATACATCCTCAGCAGTGAGGCAGGCAGTTACAAAGCTGACATGTCTGTATTCACAAATAGGCACACCCAAGCTATGAATTTAAGCAGGAGTGAATACGATTTTTTTCAATAAATCCTGGGAATCCTGGACCCAGGCAAGACCCTAATTGGTAGCCCATGCATCTAAAGCAGGGATCAGTAAAATCTTAGTCCAGTGGAAGGACCAGCCATTCCCTGGAGCTGGGCGATGGGGAATGCGGTGTGAGGTCAGGTGACACAGAGCATGTGGGCAGCTGTGCTTTGTGCTTGCCTTCGAGCCTGGGCCCATCTGGCCTTCGCCTCCCCCGCCCTTATTCCCCACAGTGGGGGCCTTTCACTCACCAGGGAACCAAGGTGCAGTTGCCTTGTTGCATGCTGACCACGTCCTGACTTCCACAGCAGCGAGTGCTACGTCCCTCCCTGCCCACAGGTGTCTCCTGCCTGCTCAGAGGGGCCCGGGCGTTGCGTCTGTTCCACTAGAGACACAGGCAGCAGGCAGCTCTGTGGAGGGGCAAAGACAGCCCAGGGGGGTGGCCCATGCTGCAGACCCCTTGCTTCTGTGGAGCACTTCATGTTTCCCGCCTCTTCCACCCCTCCGTCTCACTAACCCCATGATCCTGTGACGTGGGGCTGGGGCCATCCTCATTTGCCAGATGAGAAATCCAAGGCCCCAAGAAGTCAAGGAGCCTACCTGAGACCGCCGGTGGTTTGTGGCAGCCCCAGACCCACGGGTCCCACACCTGGACTCCTGTTGCCACCTCCCTCCCCTTCCATCTTGCCACCCACCTTCTCTGTACCCCTTTCAATACTGAGCAAGAGGCAGCGTAGTGGGTAACAGCCTGGGTCTGAATGAGTCCACACTCGGGATGGAAGCCTGTCTTTGCCTCTCATCGGTTTGTAGGCATGTTTCTCAATCCCACCCTGTCTCCTTGCCTTGTTTGTGAACTCAGGGTAACCAGGGGCCTGCCCCATGGAGGGGTGGAAAGGTCTAACTGAGACAATGGTGCCTGGCATGTGATCAGCACTGACAAGTTAGCGTCCTTAGTGTCACCACTCTGTATTTGCCTATCTTTATCCTAATTATTATTAGTTCTAACAGATGACCCACGATTTCCACAGCCATGCCGAGTTCACATGCTGCTGTGCCCAATCCCATGTCTACCATCGAGCTGCCGGAAGACCCTTTGCCTGGGCGGGGCTTCCACGCACAAAGCAGCATTGAAGGCTCATGGCGACGTCTCACGAGTAGCCCACGTGTGAGGTGCAAATCGAGCGCTGTGTGCTGTGATTGTTTAGGGGCCTGAAGTCCTGGCATGGGGCGACGGGAGGTGGGGAGCAGGCCTGGACTGGCAGGGTCCGACAGGGCACCAGGAGTGAAGGCTGGGCCAGGGTGGAGGCTCTCTTTGCCTTGTTTCTCAGGGAAGCTTTCAGAGCCAAGGTAGGGCCTGCCACCTGCAATGACACATGCTATCTGGAAGAGAAGTTCTGTAAGAGTCCGGTGACGAGAACTGCAGGGCAGAAAGGAGCTCAGCGGTGACCCTGTGTCTTGCCATTCCTGCAGGTGGGCTCCCAGCGGTTCAGCGTCAACATGCCCCACAAGTTCGGTATCCACAACTACAAGGTCCCCACCTTCTGCGACCACTGTGGGTCCTTGCTCTGGGGCCTCTTGCGGCAGGGTTTGCAGTGTAAAGGTAAGTTGCTCCCTGCCCCACCCTCAGGCCTCGCACCCCCTCCCCCGCCCCCGCCTTCGTAAAAAATCCTTGTCTGTTCTTGCAGCCTAGGAAATAAGTTCCAGATATGGACGAGGACTGAGCACAAGCCCTTGTTGAGCTCTCATTAGCAACGCTGAGCGTTTGTCAGGCAGTCTCTGGGCAGAGCCTGTCCAACACCCTGTGGTGGGAAACACCGAGGGGGAGGAGGAGGGTGTGACACCCCCTCCCACCACCTCTTAAGACAATTAACAAGCTGGGGAGACAAGATGAGCCTACAAAAGTATAGAAATAATCTAGGAAAAGATACGTGGGAGCAGAGGGGAAGAAATATTTTTGAGGTTAGGCTGTGAAGTAAGTAATGGATATGAATTGGGCTTTTCTGTCACGATCCATGGTTCGGAGCTTCCTCTCGGAAGGAGCAGTGCCGGAACGCTATCACGTAAGATATCTTACTGATCCTTCACAGGCCTGGAGCACAGGCGATATTATCCTCATGTCCCTGCTGAGGAAACTGAGGCTCCAAGACTAAGTAACCACTCGCATCACGCGGCTTATTAGCAGAAGTCAGATTTGAACCTTGACTCCTGAGTTTGAGTTTCTTCCATTTCCTATTCTGCCTGTGAGCCGTCCACTCCGATAAGCGTGCTAAGTGGCACAGGGACAGCACATACGGGGGGAAGTGGGAACATACTTTGGGGATCTG